TTTTTTTTTTTTTTTTTTTTTTTTTTTTTTTTCTTTCATTGAATTAATTTTAAAACTATTTAATTTTTTTTAAAAAAAAATTATATTTGGTCACCTACTGAAAATTACTATAAAGTGTATTTTTTTAATGACTTTTTTCCTGATATTTCTCTTACTTTTCTTATTGTTAACTAATTATTAATTTTATCTACATTCAAAAGAATATATTTTCCTAATTTAATTTTAGCATATTTTTTTTCCTCCAAATTCTTTATACATATCTAATATATTTAATTAATTATTATTTGTTTGTGGGCTTCCATATATATATATATATATATATATATATATGTTTAATTTTCTTTTTATTATTAGTAAAGTAGTTAAAGCTTAAAAAAATGAGAGGAATCTTCTATAATACTCAACCTCTAGCTTTTAAAATAAATTAATATATATATATATATATATATATATATATATTATAATTTTAATAAAATGAGGAAATTTATAATTTAAGAAAAATATATTATTATTTTAATAATCATTTGTCTCTCTTTATTTTCTGGTTAACCGTCCTGTGTTTTGTGAGCCTCCACTCTCATTTTCCCTCTTTTCTATTTCTATCTCCAGGAGTTCAATATCGAGGCAGAGATTATGATGGATCCTTACCACCACCACCACCAGAACCCTCCTCTTCGCGACGATCATCTCCGTTACCTTACCGGAACCACCGCTGGCGCCCTCTACGTCAAAGTCATGACCGACGAGCAATTGGAGACTCTTCGCAAGCAAATTGCTGTTTACGCCACCATTTGCGAGCAGCTCGTTGAGATGCACAAGACTCTTACTGCTCACCAGGATCTCAAAGGTGCTGCAATGCTCTTTTCTTTTACTTCTTCTTTCAATTCAGTGGATGAATTAGGCTTATTGCTTTAGTAGCGGCTTCTGTACTGCAGCCTTGTTGGTTGGAGTATTGATTTTTTTTTTTGGATTATTGATTGCCTGCTTTCTTCTCGATCGTTTGTATTGAATTTCGATTGCTTTCTTTCTGTTCAATTTGTATGGTGCAAGCTTTCTTGTTTCTTTTTTCTGCTTTGGAAAAGCGTCTGGCCATTTTGAGCTATTTGTTACCTCGAAAAAGGGCAAACATCTAATGCTGTAAGACTACTGGTTTCCCCTTTTGTGTTGCTATCCATCTTTTTATGGTCCTTTGGGGCGTGGAAGACTGCCCTGCCGTAAAGCATTTATTTCCCTCTTCTTTCATTGTTTGCAGGATGGTTATCTTAAAAAAAAATTGTTTGTTTTTTCAACTATTTCTTGAGTATTCCTATGAAGAAGTGAAATTTTTTTATTTATAATTTTGGAAAATCGTCATCACCGTTAACCAAACGGATGAGAATGAGATATATTTTCTTTAGCAATTGAATGAGGGGTTCAGTATAACTTTTTGTAAGCTGAATAAGACAGGTGAAAACTCGACAGTTCTGATAATAATATTCATTCATTGTTTTTGGTTTAAGATTGTTGTGGTGATATGGCTTCGACTTGTAGAAACTGGAAACTGCTTTCTGCTCCTTCTGTATGAACTTGGAGACAATCTGATGAGCCTCCTCTATGCACTTGCTTAAAGCTTGTGTCTTGCTGCTTTGCAGGAATGAGGTTGGGTAGTGTGTACTATGAGCCATTGATGGCATCTTCCAGCCACAAAATTACTTCTAGACAGCGATGGACTCCGTTGCCCGTGCAACTTCAGATCTTGGAGCGTATATTCGAGCAAGGGAATGGAACTCCTAGCAAGCAAAAGATCAAAGAGATTACCTCTGAACTGGGGCAACATGGGCAAATTTCTGAATCAAATGTCTATAATTGGTTCCAAAACAGGCGTGCTCGATCAAAGAGGAAGCAGCAGGGTACAGCGCCTGCCTATGGTGAATCAGAATTGGAGACAGAAGTTGAGTCGCCAAAAGATAAGAAGACAAAACCTGTGGATTTTCAAACTCCTCAAACCTCTGCACCTTTGGGGGAGGACGTGGGCTTCCAGAGTCCTGAGATGCACTATGAACTGCATTTCCTGGATCCAAACACCAACAAAGCTGATACTTTGTTTCCATCAAATGGAAGTTCAAAAACCGCAAGAAGTTTTAGTCAGATGTCTTCTTATGAGGGTATGCTGTAAGGGTTTCTTGCCACTTTTTCATATGATTTATTAATCATCTTTTTGCCTGACATAGCAAATTTCTTTCTAGTCGTATTATTTGGAGGATTCAGAAAAGTATTGAACTTTCTCATTTGTCAAGTATTTAACTTGCTGATAGATGAATACACACAAAAACTTGAATTAAAAGTTTAGTTAGAATCCTTTTTTGCCAGGAAAGTCCTAGGTCCTACAGGGTATATACTTTCATAATCACCCTCTTTGTAACTGTTGTGCGTTAATTTTGATAGAACTATGATGACAAGCATGTGCAAGAAAAATGAGTTGCTAACTTGCTACCTCTAAATACGTTAGGAAGATCCTCAATTGATACTGTTTTTTCCTTTGGATATCCATCTCTGTCACACCTCCACACAGAGAATATAGAATTGAGTATGTGCTTTTCTTTGTGAAATTGATTACAGCAGGGAATGAACAGCTGACAGGAAAGATCGAGACACCAGAAAACTATAGTCTTTACTCGCAAGCAGAAGGATGCATGACCGAACAACCCTGAATTCCTTTACAGTTGACACAAAGTGCTCGTCTTGTTACGAATATGCTGGACTTCTAGCTTTCATGTGACTAGTCCATTATTGAAGGAAACGGTGATGATGATGTTGATGATGAAGGATGGCAACTTGTGTGCTCGTATCCGGTCGTGATTCGTGGATTGTCGGAGTGTTCAGTTTTGAGTAATGTATTTTGGTTGGATTGTATTTGGAGATGAGCTTTGGGAGTTGATTAGTTGATTGAGCCATTGACAGTGTTGTAGGTTTGTTAAATGGCCCCTCTAAGGAGAGAAGGCCATTTGTAAAAGAATGTTTTTGTGTGGAAAAGAGATTGCGAAGGCGATCCTCAACCTCATTCCTTTTATTGTTGGTTTACTTACAAT